TATTAGATTAAAATGCACCTGAAAGAATATTACAAAAGAAATCATAATTTTATTATGTAAGATAAAATTATCTAGTTTGAATGTGAAACAAAAGGCTAGGATTTTAGTTCTAGCTCACTAACAACAAAAACCAAAACCCTTGGTTAGCTGTCATGTGAGCTCTTGGATTTCTGAGTAAAAGAAGAATAGAATTATTTGAAAAAGCAGAAGTGAGGCAGCAACTGTGCTCTTGTAGCCTGTGAGCATCATGATGCCTGATCTTTAAGTATTGACGCATATTTTGAACTTAAATAGAAGGTGGACAACATTGCAACATTTAAGCCTATTATTTGTTGAAAGTTGTAGAGCTGGAGAGTTGCAGATGAAAGGGAAAGAGGCAGGGCTTTCAAGAGCCTCCATATTCCACCTCTCAACATTTTGATCACTACTTCTTAATATCTGTTCAGTCTGTTCTCTTTCTTTGGAATGTTCTAAGTTCCCCATTTCCAGATAGTAGGCATTTCTTAAGAAATCTAAAAGACTTTCTATAAATCTTACTTAAGTTGTGAGATCATCGTCTTCCTTTCCAGCCCACAGCAATTTTCACGACTCTGATCTCCTTTTACAGTCAGTGAATAGCCAGTTCAGTCATTTGCTGTTTCATAAGTATATTTTAAGTAAACACATGATAAGAATTCAGCATATACTTTCTAGTTATTCGATGGATTGATGTAATCACATACAACTTCACCCAACGCTACTGCTATCCACCCAGACCATGCCTTCTTGTGGAAAAGGAGGCTACCTTACTATATTGGTTGGGTATGAGACCTTCAGACACTGGATTACTTCAACAAAAAATAACAACTTGAGCAGGACAAGAGCTTTTTTCTTAGAGGAAATATACTCCCAAACGCCATAATTAATTTACTATAAACTTGTACAACATAGAAAAAATATTACTTTTAATTCTTAATTGAGGTACTTAATTTTCATGTTGTTGTTGACATTGTATCTTAAATTTAATCACAGTTATATGTGAAGACATATATAACTTTTATTTTGAATCCCTCCCTCCACCTGTAGAAAGATCGCCAGCTATGCAGACATCATATACACACAGGTATATATGCCCCTATGTATATAGGTTGATTTCTGGTGGGTCAGGAGCATTAACTACAAGAGAAACAGTGTGTTTTCATTTAATACATACAGAAAAACATATTTATACAAATACATGTATTAACTTCAGGGCATTTTAAAACTATAACATTTGTAAGTGTATGGCATTCAATAATGAGCTACTTATAAATTGGACTTATCTTTAATTTTTCATTTGAAACCTAAAAGTTAGTGTATCCAACTGGCCATCTTAAGACCTCTTTGTCAAATTTGGCAAATAAAAAAAGTAAATAGAAAAGGAAAATGAAAAGAAAATTTTAATAAATGAAAAGACATCCTATTCTTGGCTGGGAACACTCAATATTGCAAAGATACCAATTTTCCCCAATGTTAATGTATAATATAAATTTAATATTACATGAATTTTGGTAAGAAGTCAACAAAATGATACTAAAGTTCATCCAGAAAAGTTAATGTAAAAAAGAATCTAGGAATATTTTGAAAGAAAAAGAAACTACTATCAAAACACATGAAAAAACAAATTTCATTATAATAGTTCATAATTAGCATCAGAACAGACAGAAAAATTTAACAAAGCAGAGTGTCCAGAAATAAGTTTAAGTATACAATGAATTTAGTGAATGACAAATGTACAATTCAAATCAGTAGAGAATAGATGTATTAATTGAGAAATGGTATTTGGACAACTAGCTAGCCATTTGGGGAATAAAAAATGGAACAATAAATAATTGCAGCATTTTTTACTCCAAAATAAATCCCCAGTAGATCAAAGATTTAAGTGTAAAAATTGAAACCATAAGAAACCTAGAAGAGATCATCAGCTAATTAAAAAATAACAATAATTTGTGGTGATTTGAGTAGAGAAGGCCATCACAAGTATACATAAAACCCTAAAACCATACAGAAAAAAGATCAATAAATTTGGCTGAAGAAAAATGAAAAACTTTTGCATCACTAAAAAAGTATAAATCAGAGGGCAAACTAGAGAAAATAGTTGCCATAGACAGAAATCTTAGTAAATCCGTAACAATTTTTGGAAATCAAAAAAATAATCAACCCAATAAAAAACTGATCAAAGGACAGGCATATATATCACAAAAAAAACGGCAAAAATGGTAAAAACTAAACATAGAACTATACTCAAAGTCAGTCATACAAAAGAAATGCATCACAGTAATAATGTGATTTTTTTCACTTGTTTGATACTTCCCAATGCTGTCAAAAGTGTGAGGAAATATGCATTCTCTATTGTTGATGATATTAGTGCAATTTTTTAAGGCCATTTGCAAATTTACCAATATTACCCAATAAACATGAAAATGTGCTTATCTTCATCAGTAATCATGGAAACACAAATTAAAACCAGATACCATTATATGCATCAAAGAATGGCTAAAATTAATAAGAGGCTTAACAACATCAATTATCAGTAGGGTATAAAACAGCTGAAACTCTCTTATACTGTTGGTGGAGGAATAAGTTGGTACAACTAGTTTGGAAAACTGGCATATTTTCTCGATTTGAACATATGCATAATTTATGACCCAGCAATTCAACTTCTAATTAAACACACAACTGAAAAACTTGCATATGTGCACTGTGTTTAGAACCGCATTATTTGTAATATCCCCAAACTGGAAACCCAAATGTTTTCATTGGACATAGAATGGATAAATTAATCAAGTGGTCATAAAATGAACACTGTATAATGATAAAAATGGCCCAACTACTGATATACACAACTACAATGAAGGATCTCTCAAATATAATGTTAAGTGAAAGAGGTCAGATACAAAATCGATTCCATGTATTTAAAGTATAAAAACCAAACAAAATGTAACTTTAAAGTTAGAAGTCAGAATAGTGCTTACCTTTGTGGGAGAAGAAGAAAAAAAGGTGGCAGTAGCAATTGTCAATGGTTCAAAGGTTGCTTTTGGATTGCTGTCAATTTTGTATTTCATGACCTGCCTGGTGGTTATTCAGATGCTCACTTGTGCTTATTCTTTGAGCCTTATATTTATGTTTTATGCAAATGATCTGAATGTGCATTATACTTTACAATAAAAAGTTTGAAGAACAAGACAGGGCAGGTTAAAGAAAAGAGAAAGAATAAAGAGATACTATTCATAGTTTTTAATAATCAAAAAAAATGTTTTTGAGTATTATGTTGTCATAATGACCCTTAATAATAATAATAGCTTCTAGGCCAGTATTTTAAGAATAGAAATGTAAATATTGATATAACTAGTTAGTAGAGTAATCATCCATTGATTTTAACCATTTGGTACAATTCTGCCATTAAATGTGGAGTTACGAAATTCACAGAAAATGATACTTACTTTTTCATACACTTAAGTTTTCTGCCATCTTATCCTCATATTTTAATTTAAAAAATGGAAGAAACCATGATAAATATAAATAGGTTAAACATTTTGATGGCTAATAAGCTTAAGGGCTTTTTACATCTTTGTACCTTGGTAAGATTATCTTCACTCTCTAGGAGTTGTGCTGGATGTTAATCTCTGAAGAAAATTCCAGGCCTGAGGAGAATAGGGATGTTTTGTAGACCCATTTAACCAGTTCAGTGTTTATTAAACTCCTGCTATATTCTGATTACAATAAGACACAGTTTTTGATCCCATGACCTTAGAGATCAATTTACTAAGAGAAGAGCCCACATAAAGATCACTTTGCTTGCACTGCACCACATGGTTGACCTTTGAAGTCTTACCTTTCCTTAAAATGAAAAATAGAATTTCAATTTGGAAGAGCATAGGCTAGCTTTCCTCACATGTGGGAATTATAGCATCATTGCTCCTCTTACGGAAAAGATGCAGTCTTGCTGGGAGAGCATAGGCCTCTGAGCCAGAAAGAACTTGTTTCAAATACAGTGCTGGCTTTGTAACAAGGTGACTTTTCTGAGCCTCAGTAAAGACAGCTTAACAAATGAAAATGAGTATCTCAGAATCCTGCGCCCATTAATTGGAGGTATTTAGACTGACTGGCTAGCTGTAGGTGCTTAATAAACTTTAGTTACTTCTCCCCCTTCAACTGTGTGCTATAGTTATTTGTCTAGCATCTCATCTCCCATATTGGTCTGTAAGCTTTTTGAAATTAGGGATCACATCTTATTCTTCTTTATACCCCTTATAGAGCTTGGCATAATGCCACGTACAGAGCTGAAATTCCATATTTACTGAAGGAATGAAATTTTTTCAACCACATATTGACTATGAGAAATGAAGATAAGATATATGTGCTTAATTCTGCTGAAGCTAAAGAAGAACCTACTCAACCCAAATCGAATGATTCTTTACTCACATTCATCTAGAGAAGACTAAATGTATGTTTAACAACTGTCATTAAGAACATGAGGTTATTATACAAAGACTAAGAAGTGACTCTCTGATTTTCGTAAGGAGATAGAAGAAAAAAGTTTCAACTCATTGAAGAAGGCTATAATACAACGTGTAGCTATAAAGACCGATTTTTTGTTTTGCTTGCAGAATCAAGTTATTACTTTAGAGTCATAATGCTTTTTGCAGATATACATGATGCTGAATTTTGGAATTCTGTATAAAATATATCCTCATCTGAAATAGCTTAGCTCTTTGATGCCAGGACATAGAAGGTGTAGACAAATTAACGTCCATGTCCTTTGAAGCCCTATGATTCTTTGACCTATTTGGTTTTCCCTTCTATTTCACCTCTTAGGAAAGCTTTGAAAACTTTAAACAGATAATTAGACAACTAGAGAAAGAACTCTAAAGCTATCCAACCATTCTTCTTATTCCAGAATGGTACATCATAATGAAGAGTACCAATGTTCTAGGTGACAAAGGTCACATATATATAAGATAGGTAATAATCATACCATTATGTGTTAATAGCACACTATATCCCATCCTACTGTATTTGAACTTCCTGTGAAAACAATAGCCTGTGGTGAAACAGCTTGTCATGGATACTAATGAAAAATTGCCCAAGATATCCTGATGGGAATCCTCCTACATTCACTCTGCCCCCGAGGTCTGGGAATTCACTGAACACAAAAGTAAGACTTTCCTCTGTCTCTTATATTCTACCAAAAATGTTACACAAATTCAGAATATCTCAAGTGGGAAAAGTAGGTAACATGTGCAGAATGGTTTTAGAATAAATCATGCATTGCTTAATTATTTTAGAATGCTGAAGGACAAGAGGACGTGATGGAGGGGGAAAGTCATTTGTTTTTGACATCTATGTTATTTCAAACTTACAAGCAAATAGATGTTCACTTTTGTTTCTCATTTTGTATAGCACCTTCCCTGTAGAGAGCTGGGCAGATCCCTACAGAACAGAAAATAGGCAAAATTTCTCCCCTATGTAACTTGAATGTTCTCTGAAAATAATAGTGTATTATCATCATCGGAGCTTTCTCTTTCCAAAGATTCCATATAGTAGGTTTGGAAAAGTAAACGGAGGAATGACTGAGAAATACAAAGACTCTTTGTAAGATAATAAAATAAGATTTGAATAATTATTATCTCATTTTGATTTTGCAACTATAGGGACTCTATATGGGGCAATTTTTAGTGCCTTAATTAGCAAAATCAAAATAACAAAAAATGGCAATTTCCTGTACTCTCTCTTAGGTTTTTTTCATTTGCAGCCTGTAGCAATAATTATATTTTCCAAATGCAAAACACCTCATTTAAAATGCAAGCTTCCCAGAAGTTGGCCAACTCTTACTGGCTCAAAGTGACAGAAACAAGTGAATCTTTTTTTCTGACATCTTCCCCTGTTAAAACTCCTTTTGGCATGCTTACTGAATATGAATCAGCCACCATGTAAATAAGTTTCTGTGTCAATATTTTGTATTGTAAAATATTTTGCCCATTGGAGTAAAAGAACAAGGGTTTGCAAATCAGATTACCAACACACTTCTAATTTATATCTTGCAAGGATAGCCTTTAAGCCACAGTTGACCTCTTATTTTTTATATATATATATTAGCTGGAAACAATTCATCAAATAAGATACTCCCTTTCCTTTCAAATCCACTTGTATTACTAAAAGGTTGAGTAAAGACCTCTGGGGAACAAGGGCAATTTTTGACATGGGTCTCAACAGATTAAACTATGCAGGGACAATATAGAATACATTGGAGCAATAACATTATCACATCATAGGCTGATTGAGAGGCATTTCCTTGCATTTCTGTCCTTTTACCATAAGCCAATAGTAGCCACAGGCATTTGACTGGAGAGCCTGGAGGATTGACAGGCCTGGCAGTCATTACACGCTGGATTGAATACTAGATTACTCCAAAGTGGCTGAGGGTCAGGGATCAGTGTGTTCCCTTTTGGCACTAAATGACTTTAATATCCTTACTGTATTAGTCAATTACTTTAAAGCTGCTGCTCTCTGAGCTCTCTCTGCCCCCCTGCAGTTTACTATGGACATTTGAATTGCTCCCATACTTAACCCCCACATCTGCTTTTAGCTGTCAAAAGAACAGTGCTATCAGTGGAGCTATTGACAATATGAAAAGAACTGAGATACTTGCTGGAGGTGTCAAGTGCCTCTTTCTTTTGGCTGCTTAGTTTAAAAAAATAAAAAAACTAAACTCAGTTATAAAGGTGGTCCTCAGAGAAAAGGAATTCAGAGTCTTTTAATCTATTGGCATGTAAAGTGACCAACAGGAAAAAAAATGGAGGAGTTGATTTTTTTTTACCACTTACTTCCATAAACCATGCACCATCCATGTGGGTTTTCATTAATTTTTGTGAACACACACTTTGTACGTAACTGTGAAAGAGTGTGCACCTGAGTGAGGACCTATATCAAAGCCTTTATTTCTATTTCACAACGGTTCCGGTGATAGTGGAGAATTATGCTGCAATTCTCAATTTATTGGTGCAACACAGTGAAGAATTTTATATCACAGCCACTGAACTTTAAAAGGGCTGGTGTGGCTTGGTGTTAAACCAACATGTCTGGATTAAATATGAACTAAGCTGATTTGAAATTTAAAACTACTTGAAAGTCATGCCTTCAGTGTTCCAGAAAAAGTGATATGATTCCCACACAAGAGCACAGCTGCTGAGTGGGCCCTGACGTTCTCGTGTGTTTACGTGTGTACAGAATCTGCTTGCTCGTGAGTGTCACTGGGAGCGTGTGTAAGTCACAGTGCTACAGTGATAATAAAGAACACCACAGGAAATTGCTAAAAGATTCTTAAAAGCTATTTCATATAGAAATTTTTTAAAAAGGACAAGACAGATACTTACAGAAAGGTTAACACATTGCCACTAGCTTACTTATATCAGAATCTGAGAAAGTCACTGAATTCTTATTAAAGGGCCTCCTTTCAGTAAGATCTGATTATTTGATCAAAAAATACTCCTTACATATTTTGCTTAAGTTTCCATTATTGATTTTGACTTTTGTGTATACTGTTATATATACATGTAAGCAATTCTTCACAACATACAATTTAAGCAAAAGCTTTATTTTTCTAAAACAAAGATTAAATTAACAAACAATGAAAACTTTTTACACTTGCTTCTAAAAATCTGAACCTATAAGCTATGATTTCAGGGACCATCCACCTCTCTTACTTTGAAAAGATTCTTCTCAGATATGAAAACATACCACAAATACAATGTCAGCAGAAATATGCTATAGCCAATCCGAGTCAAAAATCGTAAAGAAATTGTAAGCTTAGATTGTGCCAGTCATTAGAAACGACAGTTTTTGTCATCACAGTGGCATTTCCAAGGCAATTTTATGGGCTAACAGTAGAAAATCATAAGATTTGGCACTGTTCTAAATTATTTGCTAATCCTAAAGATTTTGATTTAATTGTTGAAAACAACATCGATCTGATTCTAAAGATTTAAAATATACCTTCAAACTTTGAAATAACACAGAACGGTTTCCAAATCTTATAATTTCAAGCCATTTTTCCTTTTAATTAGAATGTAGTTTTTTCATTAGTCTAGCTTTTATGAGTATAGAATCTAATAAGTAAACATGGAGTAAACTACATATTCTTGGGACTTTAAAAGCTGATACGACTCCTACCATAAGAAAGTAGACAGACCAGAAGACAATATATATTTCCTTTCAGTGGACATCTATTAAAAATATAAAGATCATTGCCTTGGGAAATAAATTTCATGATTTTGCTCATTTAAAATTTAGTCAGCAAAGGACCTTTAAAAACTTAATACCTCTTGGCAATCATGCGTCATTAGCACTTTCTATTCATTTATATTTTGTTGTGTTTGGGGAATTGCGTATTCTGGGGAAGAAAGGTAGTCTGAGAAGAAAGTGATTGAGTGAGCACCCTTGATGGTTGGGATGACAGAAGGTGAAGGACAGTAGCTGCAGCTGACAACTTCTTTAATATGAATCACTTATAAATATTTACAATTCCTAATTCAACAACAACTCAATGGGTAGCACACAATCAGAAGCGTTTGATGATTTGCTTGGAATCCTGATCATTAATGTTTTAATAAGAGTGCGTTTCTATCAGGAAGTGTTTTTAACCAATTCATTTGGAAAAGTCTAGTCTTCCTATGTCTCATCTTCATTTCTAATAAATAGATAACTTCCTCTTGTAGTTTACTCATCACATTTTATTTTTGTAAGAAACATATAGTTAGCATTACCAAAGATTAACTTCCTCTTCCACTCTGTCATGACATTTAGGTGGATTCATTTAAATTATATTTTCACTGGAATATATTACAAAGTAAATGGAGTATGTTTTTGCAACAACATACACTAGTTATCTTTTAAACATAAGAATGACCATCATTGCAAAACCTGCAAAGTAAAATACTATGAATTGTCTTATGAAATACAAAAATCTACAGCAATCTGTTAGCGTAGCATCTAATTTTCATTTTCACACCTTTCATTATTGCTTCCCTAACATAACCAAGAGGCTTTAAATGACCAATGGGAGTGGATACTCCTTTCTTTCTGACCCAGTGAGTAATGAGGCAGACAACCCCCTAGCCCATTAGGCCTTCCTTGTTGAGTGGGAGTGCAGTTAGCTGGCATAGCGCAGAAAAAGGGTCATATCGCTTATGACAGCGAAAAATAAAACGTAGAATTATAATCTATGCACTGTAATAACTTTACTCAGGAATTACATAGAAAATTAACTAATAGCCAGGGTCTTTAAGGATTTCCTCTCTGTTGTAGTACAAAATGTGAATATTTTAGCGTAGTACATCATTCAATATTTTCTGATTTTAGAAAGAAGAACGTTATAATTTCTGAAACAGAGAAAATAGTCACTAGAGGGTAATTGGTTTTAAAAACAGACTCCCTCCAAGCAGTGACAAAAGTTTACTTTATAAGTAGCATAAATAAGGATGGGAGAGCTTTTTGAAAATGTGATCTCTTCTTTAACAACTATGTCTGAATGCTTCCCTGATTTTCTTAGAAAATGTCTGTGCATGCATGTGTGTGTGCGTGCGTGCGTGTGTGTGTGCACATGTTTAGTAATTCTGGTATAAAGGAATTGACAGTTGTTTAGGGAAGTATCATTAGAATCATTTAAAATATCTACTTTCCTTTGAAGGTACTTCCTACCTCAAAAATAAAAAACTCCTCAGAACCTGCTTGTCATGTATCGTACTTCAGTATGTAAACAACTTACTAACTGGCTTTCCATGAGAGCAGGGCTCATAATTTTCAGTCTGAAAATGACATATACAAATAAAGGAACTAAAGCATGGAAAGTAACATATTTTGGTCTTGTGACTAATGGTAACCTGGTGCTATTGAATTACTGAACTGTGTCTGAGAACTAATGAGAAAATTTTCCCAGGGGAATCTTTATCCAGTGCACTTGGAGAGCACCTCGGGGACCTATTCCGAGTCTGTCACCTTCCCCGTCTCATTGACACTCCACTTCTTTACCACCATTACACTGTGCAACCATTTCACTTCACACCTCACGATTAGAATATTAAAAGGAGAGAATACTATACGACTTGTTCCAGATAGCAGAGTTGTTTTTGACACTTAGAATAAAAATTGTCACCAGAA